TCTAGAAGTTATGTTTTTGTTAAGGAGGTTATGTTTTTGGTTGTGTGTGTGGGTGTGTGTGCACGTGCATGTGTAATGTTTCCCTCCACCTAAGAGAAAACCTCCACTGATATAAGCTGGTTGCTCCTGTCCCAATGTCAATTGCAAACCAGTGTCAAAAGGAAACTCTGGGACTTTCCACAAGTATACAGTTTTATGTGTGTGTGTTTTTGTATGTTTCCCATGTTTGTATAGAAGGGTATGATGTTTTGAAGTGTCTAATTCATATGTAATTGTGAGGGGAAATTGTTTTCATGCCACAGAGCCTCAGAAAAGGCACAGGTGCCCCTCTAGACACTGGAAAATGATTCTTCAGAGTAACAACTGATCTTGGTGAGTTGCTGTATACATAGGCTGATTTGAAACCGCTCAACAGAGTGCTTTTTGGGGATTTATTGAGAATCTAACAACATTATTATATACTATCAAAGATGTTTTGATAAAATCTTCATTTAATCAGTGCAAAAAATGTGTGATTTTTTAAATTTATTGTAACAAAACTCTCAGAGGAGTGGGGAAATAGGTATTGTAATGCAATGACAAGCAGGCCTCTTAGCTCCATCTACTGGTATCTCCACCAAATAAAAATAATCATACAGTCTGTGGGCATTATAGTGCATACATTTTACACTCAGCAATTGTATATTAAATAGAATGGTGGGCAGTAAATATAATGCATTATATAGTAAGCTGTCATCTGGACATGTGTCCAATGCACTTTCATTTCTTCACTGTCACCTCTGTAGAGATGCCCAAACCTTTAGAAACACAGGAACTTTGCATGTGGATTGAGTTGAGAGAAAAAGCTGTTCTTTCTTCCAAACTGCTGCGTTTGACATTTTCATGTCCAACACAAACTCCCTTTAACCATTAGCCTTTGCTCAAACCTTGCCACCATTTCCATCAGGGCCCCACCAGAGACCTGTCAGGTCAATAAAATATGACCTTTGGCAGTATACATCTGATAAAGTTCTTCTCTTTACGTGGTGACAGCCTGTATTGGAGTAATTTACCAGGCTTCAATAAAGGAACACTCGGCTCCTTTGCCTCCTCTGGGTCAGTGGTTTGTGACAGGCGGGCAAGTGGAGGAGCAGCCCAGTCAGTGACCCGCCATGGTTGATGTTCATCACAGTGACACTGACCTACTTAACTGCCACCTCCTCTTGGATGTCAAAGAAATCGGTGCTTGACATTTGGAGAAAAGCCTGGTTAATATTAGTCAGGCATGAAAAATAATAAGCTGTTCTCCCTGTGAAAACAGCTAAATAAAAGAGAAAAGAGAAGAATGACTCTTTAGTTTGTGGCACTCCTATCTTATGCTGCATCTGATTGGTGTTGTCTCAGAGCTTATGCTGCATCTGATTGGTGTTGTCTTTCAGATGGTAGGTTATTTTACTTACTGAGTCTGCTCAGAGCACACACACACACACCTAAGTAGAAGCCATCAAAGCTAACGTCTCAACTTGAATCAGACACAGATTGATGATGGTGAGGCAAAGAAGGCTCCTCCGCCGCGTACGTGTTAAGAGACAAATGTGGGACGCATTGACCCGGAGCAAAGGTCTCATCAGTGTCTGTCCCTGTCTGAGCCCCCCTGCCTGTCAAAGTACATTTTAATCGCAAACATAATTTGAATTTACACTAATGAATACAAATGACTCCCAGGACTCCACAAGCTGAGAGTAATAAATTATTATCGCTGCTAACAATTGCATTTCTGAAGCCCTTTTTCAATTAGCCGCCCTGGTGGACATGATCATGGAGCGCTCACTCAAATGAAGACAAACGACGCCTCTTGCAACTGTGTGTGTCTGCTCCTCTGATTTAATAGCTTTCTAATTCAGGAACATCTTCGATGTGACGAGGCGTGAGCCCTTTTTGTCTCTCTAAACAGAACTTGATGAGAAAGTCACTTAATTGAAAGCAGGTGTTAATCAACCTTGCTCTGGTGTGACACTTGATTTAAGAGGGTGTTGGACAAAGAGAAGATCGTCCTTGCCACGACAGACTGTTCACTTCACATAGAGGGCTTTGTGCTGCAACTAGAGTAGCAGTTTTTTTGTAGTGTGGCACATGAACAGTACTTGCATGCATGCAGCAATCACCTCCTTATCACAAGTAATTCACGCAATAGTCCTTTTTGTTAATTACATTTAGAAACTGTTGACATGCATCAGATTAAGTAACGGAGTAAGTAGATGCTTAATGTTTGTTAAATCCTATGGTGATAATGCAAACCTATTCATACTGTAATGAACCTATTAATGCACTTTCCTTATAATGCATAGATCTCTCCTACATGATATTTCAAGTATTCATATTATTATTAGTTATTGGTCATTCTGGCCCTGGTATTACTCGATAATGGACTGAAACCAAAATATCTGTCTTAATGAGACTTTTGTGGTTAAATAAAGGAAACAAAGGAAAACAGGAAAGTTGACCTACTGCAGGTGAAGCGAACTTAAAGTTGAATGATTATTTGACTTAAACGTTCCGACTAGAGTTTTTGGACACATGATGGGCAAAACAATTACAAATGAATCTGTAGCACAGTCATCCAGTGTCTAGCTTGTGTTGTGATGTATGTTCTGAAGTTTTCAGATTTAATCAGACAGCACAGAACAAACCAGGATATGGTACAAATTCACTGGAAAACTGAGTCTCAGAAATCCTTTTCACACAGTGCCAGATGTCATTCTTGAGCTTAGTTGCCACTCACCACAGAAATCTCAATGGGGAGCTCAGCTAATTCTTCACATAACTAACTTAGGATAATTACAAGTGGACATACAAGCGGAGACCATAATCATAATCAGCTTCCTTTGAGAAGTTTGTGGTTTTTGAAAGACTGGAAAGCCACAGAAATGACATTCTGCTCAGAGAGTGGATGAATGGCTCTCTGTGTCTCTGTCAGTGGGCTGTCATCACAGGGGAGCCTGTGGGGTCGGCTTACAAAGAACACGGTCAACAACAACTCCAACAACATTAATGCTCCCCGCTCAGCTATTCTGCTACTTGAACACTTAGACTGAACATTTTGGAGTATAGAGACAACGTAGTATCGCATAGCTGTGAATGGTGGTGTGAACATTTTATAATTACTGTTGTTAAACATTGCATTTTATGTGTTAAATGTCCAAAGATTACAAATGCATATGTGAATTTATGACATGTGAAATGTGGAAAAACAGAAATAAATGATCTTACATATGATGTTCTAGTTTCTGTAAAAATCTGAAAGATGTGTCCTTATGTGTATTTATCACATATGGGATGGTGTTACTTGAGTGACTAACATTTCTTTATATATTTATCTATTTATTTATTTGTCTGTGTATTTTTGTAAGGGCATGCTTATTTATTTATTTACTTATTTTTTGTACTGTGAGGCCTTTGCTGTGCCAGCTCTGACTCTGGCCTACCTTATCTTCTAGCTTTCATGAATCCTCTCTGGTCTCACTAGTTCTCCTTTGTCAGCTCAAGGTTAATCTTGCTGGTTGATAGGCAAACACGAGCTGGATGAATTCATCCCTGTGTTTTTCTGAGAATCCAAATGGTCTATGGCAGTTCCTATTTTGCAAGGGTCCTACATGGCAATAATTCTCAGGCCCCTTGAGCATTGCTGCACTGAGTGTGTCATGCTTAACCTTTTCAACCCTAAAAAGACCTTTCAGGGGAATCATTACAATACATGCACAGTGTGTACCCAAACCTTATCTGAACCCACAGAACATTCATCTTAAATTCTAGTCAAGATCCCAAAGTCTCTATAATAGGCTGAAATACACGAATGTGCTTTAAGTGATACAAGAATTTTCTATTTAACTGAATTGTTCAATTGTAATGTGTATGGATAGAAATATTTCAATATGTAGAAGCAGGTTACGGCTTCAGAGATTCATTGAAATCAGCAGATACTGTATCCGGTACTGAAGAATATGTACTGAACTGAATATGTGATTGTCAAACTGAGGAAAAAAAAAGACTTCCCAAAACCTTGATGGAGCTGAATGAGTCACACAGAAAACATAAAATCCAAGGTGATATTGGACACACATAATTTGTATGTTTTTTTTAATCAGTACACAGAGAAAAGGAAAACAGGCCTGTGTCCGTGTTGCACTGTGAGCCCAGCAGAGACCAAAAGGATTTACTGAGAACATTTGAGTGCATTTCTGCACATTACTTGAGGCTATAAATCACACTCTGACTGAACAGTCTTCTGTTAATGACTTTACCACTAACCACTAGTATCCTCCTGATTACTCTGTTGTCAAATTCTGCATATTTGTTGTGTAGAAGATATTCTACTGCGATCCTCAAATGCAGCCATTTTCAGACGACTCTGGGGCTCAACAAATTTAGATTTCTGTCACCCTCTCTATTTTTCAACATCACCTTTGAGTCAGTTAGGAAGTCAGTAATTCTCCTCTTGTCTTGTGGTTTGAAATTGAAAAGACAACTGTTTCATAAAATGATACAACTATGAACTGGGGAGCAAGGAGAAAACGGATGGTGGGTGACTGGGGGTTTGTATGTATGTGAGTAGAGATAATGCACAAGGGCAACGGTAGTAGACAGAGAGAGTGAGAGCAGAGTGGAAGTGAGGGAGTAAATCTGCTCGGCGGCTCTCTCTCAGCATCAGGTTTATATGTGTGTGAAATGCGCAGTGTGTTTCCAGGGGTTTCTGTGCTGTCACAAAGACTCCTGTGAGAGCAGTTTATTTACCCTGCAGTAAAAACCTGAGGGGGAGTATACCCTGCAGTAAAAGTGGAAAAGGGGCTCAGTGGAATTAGATTTAGGGCCGCCTCTCGCTCTCGGTTCTGTGTGTGCCATCAGGGAAAACGCATCTGCTGCTCTTCTGTTATGTTGCGTTCAGAGTCAGGGGGCAAAATGTGTTGTATAACACACAAACAAGTTTCAGAATAGTTTTTAATTAAAGAGAGAGGTATTACATTGTTCTGTTATTGGTTACATAGTGGCTGGTACAGTTACAAGTGATTTATATAGCATAAATAAGCAGCTGTGCAATTAAGGGTTATTACATTTCACAATGCTATTGCATAAGCACTTGCCTGACTGTACAAGGTGCATTTTCACAGATGAATGCAAAATGTATTTTTGTTTGTTCTTTCAAGAATAATCATTTTCCAAGACCTGAGGGAGAAATCATAGCAACAGACTCTCAAAGAGAACATGAACATGAACATAACAGGGGGTTACCTATTGCTGGAAACCAACCAACCAGCACTGAGTAATGTTGTACACACAGTGCAGAGGCTAACGGCTCTGCACAGTCATCCACATGGCAAAAGGTACAGTCTTGCATATATCTTACCAACATGCTCCAAACAGTTTGGAAAATGTTACTGTGTAAGTGTTTGACATTCTGATCTCCCTTCAGTGTGGAGAGTATTGCTTTGTTACATTCCACATTTTGATCATGTTCAAGTCATTCAGTCAAACTCCAGGCTCAGACTTTAGCACTTTAAGTCTGCATGCAGTACAAGAGCTGGTGTGCGTGTGTGTGTGTGTGTGTGTGTGTGTGTCATAGCAGCTAAAAAAACAAAGCTTATAAGCCATTACATTCAAAGGTTGAGGCTCACACCAGCAGCTATATATCATCTTTGATCTGTGAGATGCAGTTCGTTGATTTGTACATCATATACATCGAAAGTGGCAACATGGAAAGTTTGTAAACCTGATATTTTTTGCATTTTTGGCTGAGTTTGTATTAAAATAGCCATGGAATACAGATACAGGAGGTTGTCGCATAATAAATTACACCTAACAGCCCAGTGACTTTAAATGTAATTTCTATCCATTTTGTTCATTTTACAAAAAAAAAAAAAATCTCAATACTTGCTAATGCCTTGTCCAAATTTTATTAAGAATGAATTGAAAATGTGTGAATTTGTCTGAAAATGTATGTTAAATCATTCCTTATTCTGTATTAGGATGTGCAAGTATGTAATTGTCTAAGACTCACTGTGCTAGTATTTTGTATAAAATGGGCCCACAAACAAAAAACTGACAGGCAATTTGCAAACTTCACACTGTTTTGAAGTTATAATTGAACAAAAAAGGTGAGATATAACCCTCCTGTGGTCTGGATCAACCAAACGTCAAACACCACTGCTGGGCGCTCACTAATCATTTTCCAGCTCTCTGCTTGTGACAAGTGGCTTGGGGTCAATATGGAGGAAGTGGTGTGAGTCATTCCAAGGCACTTGATTCTTTTCATTTCTGTGGATGACAAACTAAAAATTCAATAATGCTCTTTTGCTAATGTCATTCATTACCAGTTATAAATTCCATGCAATATGTCTGTTAAAAATAAATGCAATTTGCAAATTAGAAGACATGGAGAAGACATTCAAATAGCGGTATTAAAAAAAAAAAACATACTAGAGACAGAAGGCAAATCACTGAGCCTGAAAAGGCCAAACAACCTCAATGATCTAAAATAAAATGACATAAGCACAGTACTGAGATCACATAGAAGGAAAAAAACTAAACAAACAAAACACTACATAACCTCAACACAAAGTATCAAAACAGAGAAGATGTACCAGTTTCATCTTATAGACAAACTTTAAAATAAACCAAGTATAGCTAAAGAAAACGGCATCACCAGGCTACAGTATGACAGACTGCACATCATTGTACGTAGATGCTCTGTTACAGGTAGGTGAAGTGGAGGTGGAAACATTCAAACTACTTTATGGTCTCTGGGACTTTCCAATTGCCACTGGTTGCCATGAAGCTGTAAAATGCCTTGTAAAACCTCCAGCCAGACTTTGTAGCAGAAGAGGTACTGTTCCTGAAACAAGAGAGACACACGGCTTTTTTAGCTTTTGGGAACTGTCTTTTTTTGAAGCTTAAATTTGAAATTTAACTCTGCTATTTGTACTAACCTTGGTTTGAATCATCCCATGACGCTGAAGTCTCATCTCTTTTACGATGTCACTCACATTAATCTGAAGACAGAGACAAAACCTTTGTGTGACCTTTATTTTTGTTTTAAAAATAATATATAAATTGACATGAGTACGAGTACAGCCGTTCTAGGATCTCCAAGTGGCTTTACTTAGGCATAGTGGTACTAAATGCTATCATCAGCATGCTAACAGTGGCAATGTTAATACACACAAGTGTCATTAGCATATTGTCATAAACTAAAATACTGTAAAAATTAAACATATGACCTGATGATGGTACCAAACAAAAAGTCAGCTGAACACTAAAGTTTTTTCAATTCATCCTGAGGGGGACATTTTTGTTCCAAATGTCATGGTAGTCTATTTCAGTCTGAACCACAGTGGTGAACAGGTTCATGCCATCCCTAGAGCTAGGTTGTATGAGTAAAAATACAAACAAAAATGCTATGGTTAATCTATTAGTAAACTTAACACTCACAGGCAGGTCGTTTTCAATTCGAGTAAGGATAATGTCATTGCAGATGAGAACTCCTGTGCGCCCGATGCCGGCACTGCAGTGCACGGTGACTGGGCCCTTGTGGTGCACAGACCTCATGTAGCGGATGAAGCGAACCAGCTGCTCAGAGCAGTGAGGCACACCGTGGTCAGGCCAGTGTGTGAACTTCAGGTGATGGACAAAATGGGTCTCACCTGTCTGAAATAGCAATGAGTTGAATTTTTGAATAAAAGTTACTATATTTAAAGTTTAGAGTGAACCTTAATGTTGCAGCAATGGAAACAAGACCTTGTTCTTCTCTCACCTCTGTCTCCAACATGCGGATGACCTTAATGTGGAAGTACTCCAGGTACTGTTGGTTCTCCAGGTGAAGCTGGTACCTGCCAGTGTCCAGAGGAACGCCCAGTTTCTCCGGCCAGTACTTGTGACATTTGATCCTTCCCCGTTCTGCTTCTTGAGTCATCATGGCAATGACATCAGATTTGTTCTCCCAGATCATCTGCCAGAAGGTTGGCACAGTGGAAGGCAGAGGGCCCTGGCAGGAGATGTAGAAGAACTCTTCATCGCCAACTTGCAGGCGGATATAGCTGGCGTTGATGTAGTTCTGGTTGTCTCCAACAGTGACACGGGTTTTATCATCTATGGGAGAAAAAGAAAGAGGAAAACATCCTAAATGCTCTATGTGTGTGTGTGTTTGTTTTAATGTGAGCATGCAACACTTCATGAATTCCTAACTGAAGTAAATAAATAACACCTCCAGCAGCATCCTCCCACAACCCACACCCCAGACCGACTGGCATTCCTTACATTTTCTTGGAGTTTGATAAATTCACTCATTTCTTTATCGTAAACAACAAACATAAACAACAAATACTGTTAATTTGTTGTTTTGCCAAATGCACACAGTCTAAGTGTACAGTAAATAAAGCCAAGTAAACAGCTCTGAGGTCTGGAATCTGGCTCAACAAACCAGTGCTGTGAAGAAGTTACTTCACAGCACTGGGAGAGCAGACGTTTACTGCTCCTGTCTGTTCTACGATTTTTCACATCTTCTACATTTTCAAGTCTTTGAACAAATTCTACAACTATTAAAATGCCTCCAAGAGGGAAAAGAGCTAATAAATCAGAAGCGAACGAGGATGTTGAAGCAGAAGAGGATTATATTTCAGCGGCGCAAGTAACAGAGATGTTGAGTCAGCAGAAGCAGATGTACACCGCACTGTTGAGCCAACAACAAGACAACTTCAAAGGTTTTGTGCAACTACTTATGGAGACAAATAACAAGAGACTCGACAACATGACCAGAGAAATACAGGAGATAAAAACGAGTTTGCAGTTTACCCAGC